TCCAAAGGCCACCAAAACAACACAGGGTTGGCATGTTCCACCATAAAGTCAACTGGGTGGAAAGACAAGATGAGCTGAAAAGGGGATTGTAGCCAGGCTGTGTTTCTCCTCTGTCCACACCCTCCCCATGGATCCACGAGCAGTTGAATATAGTTGGTTTGCTTTGGTTTTTGCTTAGATATTTAAAGTAAATTGTGACCGAGGCCAGAGGCAGCTATAGCATCCTAAATTGGACTGGAGTGATTTCATGGGTACTGTCTTTAGTACTGAAGCCAGGGTCATGCTTGATCACTGAGACACCCTCCTAGGGGTTTTCTGGGGACCCATGAAACTTTGGGAAACAATTAGCCTGGATGAGACCCTTCAGGATATTCTACTTTGCTTCCCTTACCTTTTTTTTTTGTAGTTCTTTTTTTTAATATATTTTATTGATTATGCTATTACAGTTGTCCCATTTCCCCCCTTCTCTCCGCTCCACCCTGTACCCCCTCTCCCACCCACGTTCCCCCCCTTTAGTTCATGTCCATGTGTCATACTTGTGAGTTCTTTAGCTTCTACATTTCCCGTACTATTCTTGCCCTCCCCCTATCTATTTTCAACCTACATTCTATGCTACTTATTCTCTGTACCTTTTCCCCCCTCTCCTCCTCCCACCCCCCCCTGCTGCTAGCCCTCCATGTGCCCTCCATTTCTGTGGTTCTGTTCTTGTTCTAGTTGTTTACTTAGTTTCTTTTGGTTTTGCTTTAGGTGTGGTTGTTAATAATTGTGAGTTTGCTGTCCTTTTACTATACATGTCTTTTCTTTATCTTCTTTTCTTAGATAAGTCCCTTTAGCATTTCATAAAATAAGGGCTTGGTGATGATGAATTCCTTTAATTTGACTTTATCTGAAAAGCACTTTATCTTCCCTTCCATTCTAAATGAGAGCTTTGCTGGATAGAGCAATCTGGGATGTAGGTCCTTGTCTTTCATGACTTGGAATATTTCTTTCCAGCCCCTTCTTGCCTGTAAGGTCTCTTTGGAGAAATGAGCTGACAGTCTGATGGGAACTCCTTTGTAGGTGACTGTCCCCTTATCTCTTGCTGCTTCTAGGATTCTCTCCTTTGTTTTTACCTTGGCTAATGTAATTATGATGTGCCTTGGTGTGTTTCTTCTTGGGTCCAACTTCTCTGGGGCTCTCTGAGCTTCTTGGATTTGATGGAAGACTGTTCCCTTTGCCAGATTGGGGAAGTTCTCCTTTATTATTTGTTCAAATAACTTTTCCACTTGTTGCTCCTCCCCTTCTGGTACCCCTATAATTCGGATGTTGGAACGTTTAAAGGTGTCCTGGATGCTCTTAAGCTTTTCCTCAATTTTTTGAATTCTTATTTCATCATGCTTTCCTGCTTGGTTGATTCTATCTTCCTTCTGGTCCACTGTATTGTTTTGAGACTCAGATTCCTTCCTTTCACTATTGGCTCTCCTCCGCGTATTTTCCTGCATCTCTTTTATGGTAACCTGCATCCTTTCATCTAAATTGCGCCCAAAGTCAACCAATTCCGTGAGCTTTCTGATCACCAGTGTTTTGAACTGTGCATCTGATAGATTGGCTATTTCTTGGTCGCTCAAAAGGATGAGTCCTGGGGGACTGATCTGTTCTGCTGGAAACATATATCTTTCCCTGTTTCTCCTTTTTTTTTTTTTTTTCGGTCTGGTCGCTCTTGTTACAGTGGGGGGCGGAGCCTTAGGTGTTCACCGGGGCTGGGCACCCCAGTTGCTAGATTGTGATGTTATATGTGGGGGTGGCGGTGGGGGTGGGGGCGGGGGCAACAATGGCGGTAGTTCCGTTCTCCTGGGCTCAGACCCTTCTCTGGGATCCTGGGCTTCGAGCTCTGCACTGGTCCACAATTGCTGCCTCACTGGGTCCCCCAGCCGTAGCTTGCGCACTCAGGGGTCACCGCTGTGGTCTTGCGCCCCAGATGGCTGTCGCACCGATTTTGCGCCAAATTGTCCCCAACCTCCGCGTGCCGCCGCCGACCTGAGGCAGCCCCGTGCCCGCCCGGCTTGTCGTCCCCTACCTGTCTGGATGTACGGGTCTACTTCAACTTCTTGGCTGTCTGACTTCCATTCAGATAAATCCTCTATCAGTTCTGAGTGATATTATATCTGTAAATTATTGTTGTTCTAATCTTGGTTGTGCGAGGAGGTACGGTGCGTCCACCTATTCCTCCATCTTACTGGAAGAGACCTCTGCTTCCCTTACCTTTATTAGGCCCTGGCTGTTTGGTGTCTGTAGACAGTGGTCCTAGATAGGATACCACTCAGCAAGAACCCCAAGCAGCAGGCTGATATGCATGCCTTTTGTCCTGGTCCTGTGGAAGATCATGACTTTTCCTAGGGCCCACCTCACTTCCAGAATCTAGAGTTCATTTGGAGCTATGTCTAGGGAGAACACAAGGTAAGCTGGTCTGACAGGAAACTGGAGAAAAGGGGACAGGCAAAGTCAGCTTTCTATTTGTCTGGCAGAATACTGTCCCTAGCCCAGACATTTTCATCACTCCTGTCCTGGGTGGTGTCCTCAATTTCCAGAAGCCCACTGGAAGCATGTAACACAATCAGGGAGAAATAGATAAAGGAGGCTGGGTGTCCTATGTCAGCCTGGGCTTTTCCAGGCCATACTTGTCCATGCTATGAGGAGGGTCTAGCAGGCAGTTCAGCAATATAGCTTCAGGAACTGCAGCTACTTCTCTGATGCAGCTGCTTCACAGAAATAGCTTCCAGAAGCCAGGCTCTTTCACAGAGGATGGGTCAGTGGCTTCATAGAAAGGCCAGGGCTGGGCACTGCCACAGGCCTGAGAACTGGGCTTTCTGAGGCCTCTTCTCTGAACTAATAAGCTGGGCAAGGGCTGGTAAGGACATGGCTACTGCCCTTGTCCATCGTGGGTGCTTCTTACCCAGTCACAGGGAATAGTAGTCCTTCCCATGGGTCAGTCAACCCATGGCCTTCCCACTCCTCCAGCTCTCTTCTTTCTCAACCCACTCATATTATTTCATGACCTTGTCTGCCACACACCTCACTGGGTGGAGGAGATCAATTCAAAGGTGCTTTGGTAAACAGCTCATGGCCCTCTAGCATTTCTGTGTAGCAAGGTCCCCGAAGCACTTTCCTACTCCAGGTGTGATACATGGACCAGCAGCATCAGCATCACCTGGGAGCTTGTTATAGACACAGACTCTTAGCCCTGCCCAGACCTACTGAACTAGAAGCTGCATTTGAACAAGATACCCAGGCACTTCACCTGCTGCACATTAAACTGAGAAGTGTTGCAGTGAGGTTTTGGCACCTGGTTGGTGTTTTAGCAGACTCAGTCTCAGACTGTTTTAGCAGACCTGGAAGTCATGTTCCTCACCTGTAAAAATGAGGATCTTTATGCCCATCTCCCAGCAAGGTTGAAAGGATCAAATGAAGTAATGCTTATCCAACTGTTTGCATAAAGCCTGGCATATGGTAAGCACTCACAGAGGGAAGATTATTATTCTAATTCTTTTCAATAAGTGTAGTGCCTTTTGTGGGAGAAGATTCTACTTGCCTTACTCTAGGCAGAAGTTTCTTTCTTCCTCCATGAGGCTATACTTGGGGTACTAGGTAAGGCTTCACATCCAAATGTCTCTCAGTCAGATCCTGCTGTCACTACCCATATATTCTAGGAGCTTCAGCAATTGAATTCTCCATCTTCATTCCCTCATCAATTAAACAGAATTGCTAACATCCACATCAGAGGGTGGAAGTGAGGAACTACAGACATGCCTGGCACATAGTACCAGGTTAAGCAAATTGCATCTCAGGGGGACAGCCATCCCCACTTGCAGTGGTTGCAGTATCCTGTTGCTATTGTAGCAGGTAGAAATCTTAATCCAATGACCCAGATAAGATAATGTGCATTTCTTTGCTTTCCTATAATTTAATTTGTATTCTGTGTCCTGTTTCAAAGGTGGCAGAAATCTAATCCCACCATTCCAGGTTCTGATGCTCCTCCCTTGCTTTGGAGTGGTTTGGGGGGAAGAGATGCTTATAGAATAGCAAGGCAGACAGGGTGGGGCATCTGGTACCTGGTCCTTGATCATGGTATACCTGTGCTGGTGTCTGCAGGGATATTCCTATTCTGTCTGATCACACTGGTCTACACTGGCACAACAGTCACCTCTCTTGTTCCCAATTTCAGGGTTTTTCAGATGTGCAGGCACTGAGGGCCATGCCCATGACACTCTTGGGTATATGGGGAATCATCTGTGGCTGCTAGTGCACATGATAGCCTGGGGATCTCTGGGCTGATTTAGATCTGTCTACCCCTTCACCACGGGCATAGGAGACCCTGGGGTCCTGCCATCGCTCTAGGGTTTACTCAGAAAAGGGACACAGCTGCCTCTGTTCTCAAATCCCCTAAGCCATATTGCCCTCTTTTTGGTCTAGATAACCTTCATCTGCCTGGCATGGCAACTTCCATCCATCTTCCAAATGTAGTTAGTGCCTTGAGACTCTCATAGCCCAAAAGCCCAGGCTCTCAGCACTCTAGAACCTAAGCCCTTGACCTTCAAATATCTGACTTTTGCTTTTCTCATCATATCATCTCTTCTCAAAGGCAATGTGTACCTCTGATTAAATGGAGACGGATGGGGAAAAAAAGGAAGATACGATGAGGGTTGATAATTCAATCTACTTTTCCATCACACTGTTTTTTTGTGATACATACTCAAAAAAATAGGAAGTACAAATAGGGGGTGGTTCTTACCAGGCTTGAGAATAATTTTGTTACTGTGATCCTCCTTGTGGTTTGAGCCCTTCCCTCTTGGGGTCCTGGGGGTTGGGGCTCTTTTCCTGAAGCTGGGCGATGACTTCTGGAAGATCCTGCTCTGTTTACAGTGTGAATGCTGCCTTCCACCCAGCCTGCCTCTGCTGTAGCCACCACTGCCATGCAGAGGGGCCCCCTTGACCTGTTGTCTTTCTTGGCCCCACCTCATCAGCACCCCTATTGAGCATGTTCCAGTGTGCACCAGCCAGGCCACCACCTTGCTGCTGCCTGCTTCTGCCCAGCTGCCTGCTTCTGCCCAGCCGCCTGCTGCTGCCTCTCCCAGCACAGCCTCACCACCCCTGGCTGCAACCACTGCCCATGCTACCACCGCCTCTGCCACGGCCCTTGCTTCAAGCCGTGCAGGAAGTCCAAGGTAACTGCCCCACAGGTGCTGGCCCTGGCCATGGGGAAGGGAGGCAGGAAAGGCCTCACCCTGGGTCTATCTGTAGACAGCTGTGCCTGGTCCTTAGAAAGGCCTAGCCAAGGTGGTTAGGAGCTCAAGGCCCCAAGGAAGCCAAGGCTAGCACTGCTTGCTGCAGCAAGTGAAGGGGAGTGTACAGTCTGGCTGAGGACAGATTATGCTCTAGTGAGAGAGATAAAAGTCACACACACACACACACACACACACACACACACACACACACACACGTTAGATAACAAATGGAGACTGTGTGGAAAGTCTGTTCCTGGAACTGGAATTAAGGAGAATGAAAGTTGTCACCATGGGCTGGGGAAGCTGAGGAAGGCTCCATAAAGGAAGGAGCATTGACCTATTCAGAGAAGGCAGGTCAGGTATTTAGCAACTAACTTGCCCTTGTCCCTTAAGCTCTATTCTCTTGATAGAGGAGCATGCTAACTCCAGAGGCAGCTGGTGCAGTGGGTTTTAAATCTCTGCTCCACCACTTACTTTCTATAATCTTCAGAAAGACTAGACTTCTCAGAACCTCAATTTCCTCACCTGTGAAGACGTTTAATGCAACGTCTATTTGATAGAAAAAATGTACATAAAATGGTCTCAGGTATTGCAATTTACTGCTTTCCAAATTGCCTTCCTAGGTACCCAGTGAAGGTGGGGGCAGGGGTGTGGTAAGAGAGGTGTAGAGGTGTAGGCAGGTGTAAGGAGGTGCTGGAGGCAGGCTTGCAGATCACTCTGGAACAGCCAGGCAGTGTAATAGGCCAGGCTGACCCAGCTCTTTCTGGGTTGCATGGAGCTGTCAAATTGGTACTAAGGTCAGAGCCAGATTTCTCAGTTTCCCACACTCCTCTTCCAGGGTTTGGCTGGAAAGAACATGCTCCGTGATGCATAGGTCCCTGGTGCAGCCTCAGGAGAAAGAAGGGTGAGCAGAGTAGCCCACAGGCTTGTGGGCTCCAGCCCTTCCCCTGGGGCTGTACAGTGACCCAGGTAGTGTAGTGCCCAGCCTTTCCCCAGCCCAACTCACCCTTCCAGGCTGAGCCCACTCCAGCCTATGGGGCTTGTTCTATCCCAGCTTCCAGGGACACTTAATAAGTGCTTCCCCTCTGCATACCAGAATTGCTTCAGGTAAGGGCACAAAGAAGAAACTTACAGGAGGGTAAAAAATGTCCCTGTTGCTGAGTGGGAAGACACCTCCCCAGTTTGGATTGGGGAGCTCTAGATGCTGGGGCTCTGCTCAATGGCAGGATTCAGCAGCGCACTCTGGGCCTCTGTCTCTTAGGGCCCTCAGGACTCCCTCAACAGGGCAGACCTTCCTTTACTTTGTCTTGTAAAGAGCCTGGGTGGAGGTTGCACAGGGACCTGGAGTGCTCCTAGCTTCAGGCTAGAGCAGAAGGCATCAGGAGACTACACTCTGGGCCCACTTCCCTTCCCTTCCTGCACAAGGGGTGGGATGAATGGAGAGGGAACAAGTGGGAGGCAAAGGACCAGCCCTTCACTGGAACATGGCTTCAAATTCTTGCTGGATATCTTAAACCTTGGCTTCCTCCCACAACAGCAATCCATGACACAGGACCCATGGTTCCTGGGATGCTAGGAAAGAATCCCCCACTGGTGAGAATATCTGATTCAGACCCATTGACTTGGCCTTCTTCCACTACAGTGGAAGCTGGGTACCATATGGATACTGCCTTTTCCTCTTCCATTAAGACCCCAACGGGTCTTAACAGGTTGGTCAGAGACAGGCAGGCAGGCCCAGGGAGGGGAGACAGTGGCCTCACTCAACCATAAATATGGCAATGTGGCAGGGCAAGTCTGTACACCACCCAGGTCTAGGACTATGGCTGTCTGAAGCTCGTTCCACCTCTGCACTGTATGGGGCAGCACCAATCAGAAGCTTGGCAGTGGATTCTTAGCTCAGGACTACTGCCTTCCAGAGTCCTAGAAAGGCAGGTTCTGCCTTATCCTATGACTCTGCCCAGCAAGATGCACAGGCCCTGAGCCTGTGCCAAATAGGCAGAAGGAAGGCAGAAAGCCATTGGCTGGTGAGGGGCAGTACATTTTTAAGAACTCACTTCTCTAGCAACCCATTTCCCCTGGGTGTGGTCACATGGTTGCTGCTAGGATTTGAAAGATGTAGGGAGAGATGAGGGATGTGTTCTGCAAAGTGTTCATTAGTTTTAAGTGGAAAAAGAAAAATGGGGGCAGGATTCACAGACAAATGAAATTGGAAAACACTGGATCAGACAAAGTAAAACAAGCTGCTTAACTCTAGGAGCTCTTGTAGCCTTCAGCTCTCCAAGAAGAGAGGCCAAGTACAGCATTTCCTGAGGGTAATGAACTGGGACACATTCCTCGCCCCCCCTCCACCATCTCTTTGGTCCTGTGATCCCTGGGTCACAAGTAGGAAAAGGCTGCTCTAAGCCTCTTGGCGGCTAACCTAGTGGGAGGAGGGCAAGAATTGTACATGGAAGAGAAGCATGTCTGGAAGTGAGGACGTCTCCTGGCTCTCCATGAGCCCTCCCTGGAGCCCTCTTGCCCAGAAAACTGAGACTTTACTTCTCCCTCAGTAACAACAGAAAGGGGGAGGGGGAGGAGGCCAGGAAGTCTAAGGCTGTGAAGTGCCCCAAAGTCAGAAGGTCGAGGGGGTGGGGCAGCTCTGACTACTGCCATTTCTCTCCTCTGTCCTGCCTCTGTTCCCTCCAGCCCTAGACCTACCCTTGCAGTCTCTTCCCATGGGGGTAAAGGACTTTCTCTGCACCCTCCTGTCCAGCTGGTGGCCTTCCTCCCTCTAAGTTAGTGACACCAGCAATAGGCTATATCTCTCTAGGTGTCTCTGCTGCTTTAACCAAACTCACCAAGACTCAACACCCAAAGGAACAACTTCCTCCCCTCTAAGACCTCATGGTCTTTCCTCACAGCCTCTAGCAGCTGTCCCAGATCATCTCCATCAGGCTTCCTCTCCACAGAGGCTCCTGAAGATTGGAGAGCCAACCTGCATTGGCTGCTAGCACCAGGGCCTGGGTGGGGCCATCCTGGCTGTTAACTCTTCCCCCCTTGGTTCCAGACCACAGGCCTCTGCTCACAGTACCACAAAGGCAACCTCTCCAGCACCTGCTGCACATACATACACTGAAGCCCCAGCTGCCCCTGCACCCAAGCCTCGGGTTGTCACCACTGCCAGCATTCGGCCTTCTGTCTACCAACCAGGTAAGAAGAGAATGGGAGGGGAGATGGTCACACTGGGCATGGGTTCCAAGGGCCAGTTACAAGGCCACATTCCCAGAGGATGATGGTCAGGGAGGCCCTGCTAATGCGATTCAGACCTCCTTCCCCCCAGTTGTGGGCCAGAATCCTATAGAGCCTGCCTTGGGCTCCCGGGAGACAGATGGTCAGTGCCAAGCAGGAATGAAGCCTCCCAGCTCATAGGAAGAGGATGTTCCTGGCTGGGGATTTTCAGGCTCAAGCTGAGGGAAGAGGATATAGAGGGAGGAGCTTGTTCCTCCAGGATTCTGAGTCTGGTTCAAACCAGCAGACAGGTACCTATACAAAAAAATGACATGGGCTTTGGACAGCCTTACTATGTCATGGCGTGATCCTGGGCAAGCTGCTCAGCCTGGCTGGTGTTTGGTTTCCTCAGCTGAGGCAGGATAACTGGAGCCATGGAAAGCATAGGCAAGGCAGCAGAGTGGCCAGCACGGGTCTGACAGCAGCTGAGCTCACTGGCACTGTTCCATCACCCTGGTCCCCATTCCCTTCACTGCCTAGGACCCCCTTGCAGGGAAGAGGGCTCAGCCCCATGACCGCCTTTTCCCTAACCAAAGTTGGGTCTCCTCCCCAGAACCCCAGGGCAATTGTCAGGCTGTCTTGCACTGCTTCCCTTCCCGTACTTATTCCTGCTCAATGAACCTCAGGGCTCCTTAGCAGGTATTTTCCTAGGCTAGGGGAAGGTTCCATGTGCCCAGGTCTATAGGATGTGCCCACAGGAGAGCTCCTGACATCCAGGCCCTGACTGCTGATATTACCATTTATCCCCTGAGTCCCACTGGACTCTGACTCTGAATTCCAGGAGGGCAAGGCTATAGCTACTCAGCAAAGGGAGTGAATAGGAACAAATGAATGAATGAATGCTGGTAAGAATCACAAGTGTCCTCCCACTTGCAATAGAGAGTGGAGAGCAGGGAGAGAAGAGACAGTGAGCTACATGCTCTGGTGGCCGAACACACAGGAATAATGGATTACAAGGGTTCTTAGGGTGATACCCTGGTGCCTATTTAATGCATGGGTCAGATAGGAAATTAAGTGGGTACATTTCATTTAAAGCATTATACTTTCAACATATTTATTTTTATGGCCAACTTGAATTTATGGAAAACATTAACAATTTTCCACTTGTAGTAGTGATATAAACTGTTCTTTCCTCCCTAAATTATTATACACATATCATTTTTACATATGGTAAAACTTGTGAAGTGAGGAAGTTAATGTCTTGTTTGGGAAAGAATGAGGTAGCTAATTCTAAGGAGGCAGGGAGGAGGCTTCTCTGTGTCAGGAAGGAGAGGGAGAGTTAGCCAAGCAGCCATGGGGTAAATAAAGGAAGAGCAAAGTCTGGACTCAGGAGCATGTCTTGTTAGAGAGCATGAAAGATCGCACTGTGGCTGGAGAGCAGGGAAGACAAGACAGGAGTTGAGTCAAGAAGAGCCTTGCTTCAGGAGCTTGACTTGTATGGGGCATAGGAACAGGATCCCCATCAGAGTTTTGTTCACAGAACTCACTGTGACAGCAGCTTTGAGTGTGGGCTGTAAAAGGGGCCTTATCACCAGACAGACTCCCCTGCCAGGGCCTGTTCTGCTATCCAGGGCAAAGTACTTCATCCCCTGGCGGGTTTTGTTCATTTGAAAAATGGGTGTGATACTGTACACACCTTGTGTTCTGGGAATGAAAAGAAGCACCAAGTGCAGAGCTGGGTACGCAGGAGGTGCCGTTCTCTGTGCCTTCAGAGGTGGGGACACAGGGTTCTGAAGCGGCTAGTCCACGGAGAGAGGGAACACTGTAGGGAGGGGGGAAAGGAGTCTGAAGGAGCGGCAGTGGGTGGAGGTGAGGCCCGGGATGGCATCTGTGTGGAAGGCACGCGTAGGGCTCGGGTCCCAGGCGGGTCTTTCTGAGCATCTTCAAAAGCAGGCCCGGGCTTCCGCGCTCACCCTGGTGCAGGGGTCTCCTCCGCAGGCCAGCCAGGGGGCGGCGGGGCTCTGGGGCCCAGTACTGCCTGACCCTCTTCCCTCCTTATAGGCTGTGGCCTAAGCGGTCGAGACACGAAGGAGCCCGGGGCCTCCAAGGCGTTCCCAAGCCGGCAGACGTTAACTCATTCCTGCCGGGAGGGAAGGAGGTGGCCAGCCTCCACCCCATCTTGTGGAGACTCTGGGGCCTGGTACCACCAGGGGGTGGCAGGCAGGCGGCTCCTTGAGAAGCAGGGAACTGAGCCTCCTCTCCTCCTCTCCTCCTCTGCAGACCTGGGGCAGGAGTGTCCCAGCCCTGCCCCGGCCGAAGCTCCCCACAGGGACTCCTTCAAGATGTCGGTGGTGTTAACAGCTCAGATTTTATTGCTAACGGCCAGGGCTGGGCAGCTGCTCCCCGGAGCACCTGGGGCCCGGGAGGGGACTGGGTAGTGGCGTGGAGGCAGGGGCCAGGTCGGTCCGGGGAAGTGGGGCCGACCTGCAATGAGTCAGAAATCACCTTGTTTAATTACACATTCCTGAACCTGCGACTGCGATAGGGGCCTTTTGAACTTGCCAATTAGAGATGAAATATCACCTTTTAATTTGGACAGGCTGAATTCCGTCACGCAGAAATAGCAACAGCCGGAGGCTTGGAGATGGGATACTGGTCTTTCCTGGCATGTCGGGGTGGTGCGGCCAGCCAGCCAGCTGGGCAGCAAGGAGCAGAGGGAAGGGGGCTGGGAAGCTGCTGTAGTTGAGCCTACTCCCTCCAGGAAGGAGGGGACCTGAAGGGGGAGGGGAGCTTCCAGGCTGTGCCTGGAGAAGAGAAGTTCCCCAGCTCTGGATGTGCGAGCCCTACTCAAGGAAGCTGCCAAAGTCAGGTCCAGATTTTGCCCTGCTTTTTGACTGCTGAGACCTTTGTGTTGTGAGAGCTTAGAAAACGGGGTTGGATTAAGGAGGCTAGGAGATGAGGAGGAGGGAAGATTTGGAAGGGGCTTATTTTGTTGCCTCGAGAGTGGTTAAAGGGGGACAGTGGGAGGGAGGCGGGTAGGGGTGGTGGGGTTCTGGTTTTAGTTCCACTTACCTGAGCTTCACTTTAGCCAGGTAGTTGACTAGGTCAGTGACTTTGAGGTAGACACTGAATTTCTCCCAGCCTCAGTTCCTCATCTGTAAAATGGACTTGAAAATGTTATCTGCCTCATCGGATTATAATGAGTGTTATATGAAATAATGCATATAAAGGGCCTGGCATGTAGAAGCAGTCAGTACTTTGTAGCTATTGTCAAATAAAAATTAATTTTCTAGTGGCCTCATTTTAAAGAAAAGTAAAGGGAAGCAGATGAAAATAATTTTATATTTTATTTTTAATTATATTTTATTGATTATGCTATTACAGTTGTCCCAACCCCTTTGCTCCCCCTCTACCCAGCACCCAGCACTCCCTCAGGCAATCTCCACACCATTGTTCATGTCCATGGGTCACACATTTCCTATACTGTGCTTTACAACCCCATGGCTATTCTATAACTACTTATTTGTACTTCTTAATCCCCTCACCTCTTCACCCATTTCCCCACACACTCCTCCCATCTGGCAACCATCAAAACGCTCTCCATCATCCATGATTTTGTCTCTGTTCTTGTTTGCTTAGTTTGTTTTTTAAGTTTCAATTGTTGTTAAATATGTATTTATTGCCATTTCTTTGTTCATAGTTTTGATCTTCTTTTTCTTAAATAAGTCCCTTTAACATTTCATGTAATAATGCCTTGGTGATGATGAACTTCTTTAGCTGTTTCTTGTCTGGGAAGTTCTTTATATGCCCTTCAAATCTAAATGGTAACTTTTCTGGGTAGAGGAATCTTGGCTGTAGGCCCCTGCATTACATGCTTTGAATATTTCTAGCCTATCTCGTCCAGCCTAAAAAGTTTCTTTTGAGAAATCAGCTGACAATCTTATGGGAACTCCCCTGTAGGTAACTAACTTCTTTTCTCTTGCTGCTTTTAAGATTCTCACTTTATCTTTAACCTTTGGTGTTTTAATTATGATGTGTCTTGGAATGGGCCTCTTTGCCTCCATTTTGTTTGGAACTCTCTGTGCTTCCTGGACTTGCAAGTTTCTTTCCTTCATCAAATTAGGGAAATCTCCTTTCATTATTTTTTCAATTAGATTTCCAATTTCTTGCTCTTTCTCTTCTCCTTCTGGCACCCTATGATGTGACTGTTGGAATGCTTGAAGTTATCCCATAGGCTGCTTACACTATCCTCATTTTTTTCTTCTTCTTTTTTTTCTTCTTGTTCTGCTTGATTGTTTTTTGCTTCCTTATGTTCCAAATCATTGATTTGATTCTTGTCTTCATTCACTCTACCGTTGTTTCCCTGTAAACTGGTCTTTATTTCAATTAGTGTATCCTTCATTTCTGACTGGATCTTTTTATGCTATTGCGGTTCTCACTAAGTTCCTTGAGCATCCTTATAACCATTGTTTTGAACTCTGCATCTGATGGATTGCTTATCTCCATTTCGTTTAGTTTTTTTTCTGGAGTTTTGATATGTTCTTTCATTTGGGCCATCTTTCTTTGTCTCCTTATTTTGGCAGCCTCCCTATGTTTGTTTCTGTGTACTAGGTAGAGTTGCTATGACTCCCTGTGTTGGTAGCATGGTCTAATGTGGGAAGTGTCCTGTAGGGTTCAGTGGCACAGCCTCCCCCAAGCTGGGTACCCTTCGTGTGGGCTCAGTACACCCTCCTCTTGTAGTTAAGCCTTGATTTCTCTTAGCAGGCCAATGGGAGGGATTTATCTATTCCAGTCAGCTGCAAGGACTGGCTATGACCACTGACCACCAACCTCTGCCCTTTGTGGAGGATCAGCTGTGCAGAGGCAGAGTGGTAGTGCTCCAACCTGGTCTGTAGCTGTCCACTGGGTGTTCAGGCTCTGGGGTTTTCCTGATGGTGCAGACCAAGGTCAGCCACACCTGTGTTCTGCCCGGGGACATCCTGCATGAGCTATACAACAAATTTAGATGGCTGCTACTTGTCCTGGGCTTGGAGGTTCCCAGGAGAAGCTGAAGTGTGTATCTAGGCTGATTGCTGCTAGTGTGGGGCCTGGGGCCACTTAGGAAGAGGTATGGGGGCTGGGGCTCACTGAGCCTGGTTGTTGCTTATTTGAGAAGATTTAGGAAGTTGTGAAGCATGAGCCAACCCCAGTCATTCTTATAGAAAAGTCACTGTACACAGCTTGGGTGGGCCCATAAGTTGGGTTGGACGGAGCTTCAGGGGATCTCCAGGACAGGGCAAACAGCATTAGCTAGGTTGATGGAGTCTCAGATATGGCACCCACCTGCCACCCACCATCTGGCTCTATAACTTTAAGGGGGGAGGGTTCAGAAAAGGGACAATGATCTCTGCTTGCTTTTCTGCCTGTGAGAAAGCTGTCCCCCAGCTCTTGCCCTGATGCCAGACACTTCATTTCCTCCCTGTATGCCACTGGTATCCTGGTGTTGGCACTCAGAGGGAGTGTGTCAGGGTTCTGTACAAGTCTGTATGGGGGTTCTTTAAGAGGAACTGTTCGAGACTCCGGAAGTTTCTTCCACTGACTCAATCCCTACTGATTTTTGTGACCAGAAGTTATGGGGACTTATCTTCCTGGCACTGGAACCGTGGGCTAGAGGGCCTGATGTGGGGCTGGGACTCCTGATTCCCAAGATATCCCTCCTGAATTTTTATCCACCACACATGCATATGGGACTAGCCTGTTCCGCATCCCTGCCTCTCCTACCAGTGTGGATGGATGTGGTTTCTTTAATTTTGTAGTTGTCAGACTTCCATTCAACTTGATTTCTGATGGTTCTGAGTGATGGTTGTTCTATAGTTTAGTTGTAATTTTGATGTGGTTGTGTGAGGAGGTGAGTTATGTTTACCTATGCCACCATCTTGACCAGAAGTCCACTCTATTTTATTTAATTCGGTATATTAACAATATCATTTTACTATATAGCCAATATAAAATAATTATTAATGAGATATTTTACATTCTTTCCTTATACTAACTCTTCAAAATCTGGTGTTTATTTTACTCTGATAGCACTTCTCAATTCAGACAAGCCACATTTCAAGCTCTCAACAGCCGTCTGAGACAGCACAGGATTAGAGCTTCTGTTTTAATCTCTTCTAGCAGAGATTCTCCCACTTTACAAAAAAGGAAACAAAATCTTGCATAGAACTCCATTATATATAACGGAGGAGTGAGTCTGCTCTAAAGTTTTGCTAGATCATTTTTTTCCACATCCACTCCCTTGAGGCATTCTCCTCACTCCCTTCCCTGCCCCCAGCACTTTGAGACTCTCTGCTCTGGGCACTTGGATGCTATGCAGGGTTATTATGGAGAGTGACAACACCTTGAATTTGGACTTTACAAATTTACAAAGTGCATTCAGTATTTCACTCTAGTAGGTGCCTACTATTCCCTGAGAGGCAGGCAGGGGGTGTCATGCATTCCACAACTGGTGAGTAGACTTAGTTTCAGGTTATCTGACTTCAGGGTATCACATCTCCCATTCCAACCTCCGACATCCCACAGTCTGCCTGGGCTGGGCTCCCTCAGGTGACCACCAGGCTATGAGATGAGCTAACAGTTCATCCTAATGAGACCCAACAGTCACTAATCCCCACCATCCTCAGTAACATTTAGTGACACACAAACTGCACCAGCTACTTAATCCTCATTATAACACTGTAAGGTACTAAGAATTATTATTGCCATTTTTAGACAAGGAAATTCATATCCAGAAATGTTAAGGAAGTTGTCCAAGGACACAGCCAGGATATAATAGAGCTATGCTCCTGAAGGTTGTGCTACATGCCAGAGGATGGGACCTCTTCCATGTTGACAATTACTCCATGATTACATGGTACACCAAGATTTTATGGAAATTGGATTCATGTTCTTTACAGAGGTAGCTTGGGGTGATAGAATGGTTTTGGAGACCATTCTGGCTCTATCACTTTACCATTTACTGGCTCTCTCTGAGCCTCAGTGACCTCAACTGTAAACAGGACTAACAAAAAATGATTTGTTCTATGCCTAGTCTACTTCCTCAGTAAGTGGGAACAAGATTCCTTGGGGATGAAACCAGCATTGCTCCCAGGTGACTCCAGGGCAGGGCTGTGGAGGATTTTACCCCCTCAGCTTTCTATAACACAGGTCTGGTCCTTCCCCACCCCCAGTGCAGGGGTTTCCATGATACTCAGCTCTGAAGAGCCAGTCATCTGGGAGTAGAAGGTACAGAATTGGAACTGTGGACCACAAGCCACTCAAGGTGGTCCACGGGAAACAGGTGGGAGAGACCAGAGGCCAGGGCCTTTATCCCTGAGAAAGGCCTTACTTTGTAGGCTGGACCCTGGTGGGGGCTGCCTTAGTACCCCTCACCACTGTCCATCCACCCAGGCCAGGCTCAGGAATAGGGAGGATGCTGCCCTGACATGTTCCCCAGGGTGGGAGAATGAAGCCTCTTTCCCTAAGAGCAAACTGAGTTGAGGTGACATCTGGAACCTTCCTCACTGGAAGAGTAGGCTGGCTGGCTGGCTGGACGGTGTATGCAGAACAAAGCTGGTTCCACAGTAGGGGCAACAGAGCACTAAGATACCTGGGTTTTTGAGGGTCCAGGCTTCAGAGAGAGGGCTTTGAGTGAGCAGTTGCAATGCTCCTTTGTGCTATCTTCCCAAAAAGGATTTTAGCTTTCAGTGACCTGGAGGAGGGGTCCTAGAAGTGGGGCAGTGCATTGTACTTACACTCTGACTTCCTTGGTAGCCTCTATGGTCACTTGGACCCACTCTCACTTTCTACCAAAGTGATGTGGGAGAGCACAGGTGCCCCAAAGGCAGCTAGACCTAAGCTATATCACCTTAGCATCTCTGTCCCAAGCATCCTCTGAATGACTCCTTCAACACCCCCACCCTTATCAAATCAAGATGGAATTTCTCCCCAATACAAATCAAGCTAAGGTGTTTTTCAGGAAAATATTTGTAGTTAATCCTGAAACCCAAACCCGAAAACCCTCTGCCCTGTCATCTACTTTGTTCCAAAGACTGGACTAGGTCAAAGTTCAGCAAATGCATGCAACTGAGTCATTTCAGATGTCAAATCACAGGTCAGTGTGTACCTGAAGCATCTTCTAGTCAAGGCCAAGCTGACCCACCCCCATCCTCTTCTGGACCCAGACAGGAGCCTGGCCCAGCACTCCACCTCCACCCACTGCTTTCTGCAGGCCTCTGGCAGCCCAGGCCTGGCAAGTCTCACCCCTGCAGCTGCAGATATTTATAGCTCTATCCCTTTTTCAGCCTCTTCAGGGCTCTGAGCTTCTGGGAGCTCTTACCTCCCTTGGCTCCAGCTGCAAATTCAAATCCAGTGCATCCAGAAGCTCAGCACTGTGTCTCTTAGGGTAAAAATTGGAACTATCCTGCTCTAATATTAAAGTTGCCTTTCTCTGGCTGGGGGTGGGGTTGTGGGAACTAGAGGGGAGTGAATTCCTGACACATTTTCTTTGGATCTCTTTGGTTTGCAGTGCCTGCATCTACCTACAGCCCATCTCCGGGAGCCAATTATAGTCCAACTCCCTACACCCCCTCCCCTGCCCCTGCCTATACCCCCTCCCCTGCCCCTGCCTATACCCCCTCCCCTGTCCCAACCTACTCCCCCTCCCCTGCCCCCACCTACTCCCCTTCTCCAGCACCAGCCCATACCCCATCACCTGCCCCAAGCTATAACCCTGCCTCATCTGTGGCCTATAGTGGGGGCCCTACTGAATCTGCCAGCCACCCCCCTTGGATGACAGATGACAGCTTTTCTCAGAAGTTTGCCCCTGGCAAGAGCACCACCTCCTTCAGCAAGCAGACTCTGCCTGGAGGGACCCATGCCTACAGCCAAGGTTCCCCAGTGTCCCCCCTTGCTAGGGGCACCTTCCAGAGGGCTGAGCGCTTCCCAGCCAGCAGCCGGACTCCGCTTTGTGGCCACTGCAACAATGTCATCCGGTATGGTCCAGCTGTGGCCCTATGTTGGGGTGATGGAAGGGTAGGGGTACAGGTTGCTTACCCACCATGTGAGCCCTACAGTGGGGCTGGGGAGTGGGAGGGCAGGTATAAGGAGAAGACTGCTTGCAGGGCAGCCTCAGGTCCCTTTGGGTCACCATCTGGTTGGACCCTCTCTGAGTTTTGGCTTCCATCCCTGTGTGACACCCACTTCCCTGGGGAGTTGGGAGGATGCCATAAGGCAAATGGGTGAAGTTCCCAGTGTGGTGTCTGGTGCCAGGAACTTCCCCTTAGGCTAAGGCCTAGTTCTGGGAATGGCAGATCTTATTGTCAGTAGGTTTATTGGGACTGTTACAAGATGGCTGACAATGCTGGTTTTGACCCAGCTTTCCTTTAGGGTTGCTTCTGGTCTTTCTACAAACAGGGCTTTGGTGGGCATCTGCCACTATAAAGAAAATATGTCATTTCAAGCTTAGAAGCCAGGATGATGGGTGGTGCTTGTTTGAAAATAGTATTTTACAGTATTTGTGTTTATAAGGGTGGTAAGATTATATATATATGTGAAAAACATACTTTTATTTAAAAATAAAGTAACACATCTCAGAGAGGAATTAGAAAGTTGGGAAAGGCAAATTAAAATATAAAACATTTCCTCATAGTCACACTCTTCTGATTACTAATATGGAACTAGACTCCCCAGGTTTGTGTTCTGGATCTATCATACTAGTCCTATGACCTTGAACAAATTACTTAACCTCTCTGTGCCTCAGTTTCCTTATCTGAAAATGGGTATCATAATTATAACTACTTCACAGGATTGTTGTGAGAATTAAGTTAATAAATACAGATTTCTTCCTGACTAGTGCCTCACACAGAGTAAGCACTTAGTAAATGTTAGCTGTCAGCCCCATGATCATTGCTCTTCCTGTTGTAATCATTAGTAGTCAATTGAGTAGATATTCCATAATATGTTTGGTGTTTGGGTTGCTTCCCAGTTCTCTGTTATAAGTAATGTAGCAAGGAACATCTTTTTGCAAGGAGCTCTATCTGAATTTTACATTATATCATTAGAACAATCACAAAAGTTAAGGTTATTGGGTCAAAGTATGGGCATTCTTGGGATCTCAAGCTTTTGAGGCTGCCTTAGTAGGTGCTGTTCTCTGCTTCCCAGGGGCCCCTTTCTGGTGGCTATGGGGCGCTCCTGGCACCCAGAAGAGTTCAACTGTGCCTACTGCAAGTCCTCCCTGGCAGACGTGTGCTTTGTGGAGGAGCAGAGCAATGTTTACTGTGAGCGGTGTTATGAGCAGTTCTTTGCCCCAACCTGTGCCAAGTGTAACACCAAAATTATGGGGGTAAGTGTGCAGGCAGCATCCTTCTTCACTGACCCTTGTCTTTTCCCCTCCCCCAAGAAAGCTGAGAAGTTGCTGCTAACAGAGAGGGCCACTCCATTTCTATTCTGGAAGGAAGTTGGTTTGCTACCAATGAACTAGGGAGCAAATGATCTTGAAGCAAGAGATGATTACATGCCTGGGCTACACAGCTTGAAGTGGTATTAGAGCTTCTGCAAAGCGAGTTATGGCTTCATAGCCTGACCTTACCATGCACCTGCATTTAGCCTTGATCCTGGATACCCCTTTTGTATAATGGCAGTAACAAGCAATGCCTTCCTTCCAGGTTTGATGGGAGTGTTAAGCATCACAGTTATATAAGCACACTCAGAACCTGACACCCAGCAAGTGCTGAATGAGTAGGAACCCCTTCTTTGAGAACCTTTCCTTGGAACATCCAAGGCCTGTTACCTGGCCTCTCCTGGCCTGCTCCCAGATGGGATGCTCTGGCATTGGCCAGGGTCTGGTGAGGAAGACAAGCTCAGCTCCCCTGCCTCAGGACCTTTCTCTCCTGAACCAAGGCTCTTTTCCTCAGGAAGTGATGCATGCCCTGAAACAGACATGGCATACTACTTGCTTCATCTGTGCAGCCTGTAAGAAGCCCTTTGGGAACAGTCTCTTCCACATGGAAGATGGGGAGCCCTACTGTGAGAAAGGTAGGGCTGCTGAGCTGGTGGGAGGCCTTCTACACCCTATTTCCTCACTTTCTGTCTAGGTCTATTCACATGAAACCATCAGGAGGCTCCAAGTGGCAGAATCATGCCAATATTACACAAAAGAAGTTCATCAAACTATCTCCCCTGACCACTGGGTTGCAGCTTTTCTAGGGGCAGAGTGGGGGTGGGTGGGTGGAAGGGTTGGGGAGGTGAGGGAGGAGCTTATATATATATATATATATATATATATATATATATATATATATATATATATTCAGTCTCTGTTCCCTTCCCTGCACCAAATATGTGGAACACAAACTGGCATCTCATAGCAGTGTGGGAAACTTTCAGATGATTTTGATTTGGAGACCAGAAAGTCCAGTCTGAAAAGGCTGTGGCTCTGTATTTATTCTGGGTTCTTTTCCAGGCTCCACATCAAGACTGACTTTGAGACCTTGAGTGAGTTACTGAACTACTCTGGGCCTCACTTTTTCCATCTGGAAAATGGGGGAACTAAACCCCTGCCTCACGGAGTTATAGCAAGGATTAAGGCAGAGAAAGTGTATAAAGCATCAAATACTTGAAGTCCCTCTCCCTACTCCTTTAGTGTTCCTTCAGGGTCCTATAGTCTCCTTGTCTGAATTTGGAGTTTCTCTGCCTCCCAAAATGCTATATGTTATCTTAAAACTTGGAGGAAATTATCATAAGTTCTGAAGACAAATCAACTCTATTAAAGAGTAGGGTGTCCAGGCTAACTGGCCATTCACTCACTCACTCATTTATTCACAGCCTGCTTCTTTTAGAAAAGGACTTGAGGTAGGTTCCAATAAAAGGTAACATAGACATAAAGGTTGAGACGAGAGAAATAGAAAATCAGTACTAAGTAGAAGAAGGAAAAGCAAGCATGCCGATTATAAAGACAAAGAGAGTTGCAGTGACTGAGTAGCACATTTGAAGGCAAAAGGAAAGACACAGTAAGTTAGTTTACTTTAAAATCAGAAAGGAGAAAACATTTCAGTTCCTCAAGGGGAAAAGCAAAACAGAACAAAAAATTTCCCCCTGACAATAAATTATAAAAACAATTTCTTGGATTCGTGGATTCTCTTGTATGCTGGTAAAGTCTCTTTCCAGCTTTGAAGTTAATTGAATGACTTAGTCACTTAATAACTCTGTGCTTCAGTTTCCATATCTGTAAAAGAGAGAGGATAACACCTGTCTTTTCTATTCTTATGAGCATGTGGTGAGTATTGGTAATTAAGAAAAGTGCTATTTTTCCAGTGTGAATTGCTATTATCAATCAACTACAACTTTAATAATTTCAGATAAGCCATAATTTATGTCTCAGGTTTGCAAAAGAATGATAGATTTCAACCATCACCACTGCCCTTCTCCATAGTAAGCCCCACCTCAAAAGACTGATGGATATTTGGGTTGCTTTCACTTCTTGACTATTGTGAACAGAGCTTCTATGAACATGGGTGTGCAAATATCTCCTCAAGATCTTGTTTTTAATTCTTTGGGGTATATGCCCAGAGGTAGAATTGCTGGATCATATGATCGTTGTATTTTTTACTTTTTGAGGAACTTCCATCCTGTTTTCCCATTTTATGTCCCACCAACAGTACACAGAGTTCTAATTTCTCTACATTTTTTGCCCACACTTGTTATTTTCTGATTTTTTTTTCTTTTGGCTAGCAATCATCCTAATGAGTATGAGGTAGTACCTCACATTATGGTACTTTGTCATCATTTTTATTAGCAACTTAGAATAAGGCACAGAATGATAGGGCCAGGCTCAAAAATATTTTAGTTGGCCTCAGTGATGAGCTGACACTTTTATATACTATATATCTTGCATATACGTGAGACAGTTGGGAAAGAGTCAGACTCTTCCAGATTGGCCTGTATTGGAGCAGTGCCCTGGCCCTGCAGGGCATCATGTTCACCTGGGGGGAACTTTAAAGAGGTAGAGAACATAAACTCCCAAACCTCCATAAGTGAAATTTCACGGGTTTCCCCTCTTTCGCCCAGTGACGCCTCTATTTAGTTAGGCTTGGGAATCCAAGTGTGGTCCCAGGACCAGCACCTTTAACATCACCTGGGAACCTTTTAGAAAGCATATCTTCCAGCATCACACCAGATGTATTGAATCAGAAACTCTAAGAGGTGGGCCTGGCAATCTGTGTTTTTATGAACCCTCCAGATGATTCTAGCATTTGAGAACCTCTGCTCTGGTAAAGCACTAATCCCTTTTTCAACAGAGAGCATCTGTGATTTTATGGATGGAAATCCTTTTGCAAGAGCAATAAAATCTTTTAAATACAGGGTATGAATTCAACTTAGGACAGAAGAAAGTCAAAGAAAATTATAAAGACTTAATAGGAGAAATAAAGAAAAGAATAAATAAATGAGAAAATAGATTATGTTTCTGGTGGGAAAGGCCCACATGCAAACCTGATTCAATACAGATTACATTCTTCTGTAGAATAAATGAGGAAAAATATCAGCCTTTCTTTTAATGTATTAGGGTCAGATATGTGCTACCAAATTTTAAAGCAAAGTGGTGATTCTCCAGGTCATATAGAATGCAGTTTAAAACAGAAATATCCACTAGTAGGAAAGACTAGACATTCCAGAAATAAAATCAAGCCACTGTAAGAGAACTGGTGAAAAACCATAGGCTTCACAACAGGAGAAGGAATTACTATTTAATAAGAATTTTTGAGCCATTTCTCTATCAATTTATGACTTACCTATCAAATGTGTGCCAGTTTCTGTGCGAGAAGTTGGACATATAGGAGGGGGGTCTCCTCCTACAAAAACCTCAAGTAGATCCATCATCATGTGATGTACCAGCACCTAAGTGAACAGTTAAGAGGTAACAAATGAATGAAGAGGAAGGGAAGCCCACGAGAAGTGCGATAGAAGCCCATCTAATACCTCTTGGTGGGGTGGGGGTGACAACTTCCCAGGAGGGCCTGGCCCAAAGGATTCTAGAGGTTCAGGCAGGCTAAGTGAGGAGGGTTTTCCAAGTCCAGGTCATGGCTCATATAGAAGCATGGAAGTGGAGGAGAGCCCAGGGCATCTGGAGACCAACTGGGAGTAAGGAGAGAGAAGTCAGTAGTGAGGTGCAGGGCTTGCCCTCCAGTGAAGGTGGGTTGGTCTATAGCCCTATTTCCTATCCCACATTGATAGGTTCCTACAGAGCATAGAATGAAGCATAAACCTGTTGTAACTTCCTAAAGGAAGCAGAATATTTTCTTAGCTCTGGTGAGGTGATGGATTTCTGCCTACTGAAGAAATTAAGTAGTCTATCAGAAACAAAGTTCATAGACTGTGATATATTTAAAAGCATTTGCATGCCAAACTATAACTAAACCCCAAAGGGGAAACTATACATAGGAAAAATACAAGAGATATAATTTATCAAAGCTCAATGGCAAATAGATAACTAAAGATAGCATAGAGTCACAGAAAGAGGGTGATAAATTTGGAGTTCATCATGCTCCTTACTTGTGTGATGGAACCTCTACAGTCAGTTTCCTCGTCTTTAAGATGGGAATAATACATCCTGGCTGGTGTGGCTTATTTGGTTGGGCATCATCCTACAGACCAAAAGGTCTCAGGTTCAATTTCTGATCAGGGCACATACATGGGTTCCAGGTTGGTCCCCAGTTGGGGCACATGTGAGAAGCAACCAATCGATGTTTCTCTCTCACATCAATGTTTCTCTGTCTCTCTCTCTCTCTCAAATCAATAAACATATTTAAAAATAAAAATAAATAAAGTGGAAATAATACTTTTTTACAGAGCTGCTGTGAAGATTAAACAAGAAACATGGAAAAGCACTAATATTGGATTGGCACATGGCATTCAAATCAGTTCCCTTCCCCCCTTTCATCATTTATAAAGACAATCAGAATAAAAGCCAATGTTTTGAGGATTTGTGCCAAGTACTTCACAGACATTATTTTATTTATTCTGTATAACAACTCCATGAGTTAGGTACTATAGTTATTCCCATTATATAGATGAGAAAGTTCAGGCACTGAGAAGTCAGGCAGTCAGTCACTTGCCTCAGATTTGAACAATTCCATAGTAGAGCTGGGATTTGAACCCAGCTCTTTCTTTCTTCAGAACCCAAATTCATAACCTCCATGGCACTCTGCCTCTCAGCATGTGGCCTAAGACAGTGAACAGGGCTGTTATCCACAAGGAAACCCGAGCAGAAAATCATTGTAAGAAAAAGCCAATTGTGGCAGAGCTGTGGAGATACCAGTACACTTCTGGGGAAATGAAGTTTTTATAAAAGTCAAGCTTTTTTAGAAGACCCTGGAGGAGTTCTATATCAAGAGCAGTAGAATTGCTGCCCTTGTGACCCAGAGAGGACAGTTCCTGTGGTAGAGAAGCCCAGAATCTGGCCCATGTGCCTCAGTCTTGTGATGCTAGCCAGGCCCTTCACCCCTTTAATGCCCAGTTTCTTCACCCACAGAATAAAACAAAACAGAAAAACAATGATAGTTCAATCTTTGAGGGATTTTTCAAAGGTTAATTTTATTAATTGATTTATTGATTCATTGATTTATCCGTTCACTCATTCATTCGACACATATGTGTTAGATACTGACTTGTGTGCCATGCACTGTGCTGGGAGTACAAAGATCTTGACACTGAGACACTAGTAAATAATACCGTCTATGTGAAAATGTTTAGTAAACTATAAAGCATTATACAAATAATGTTGGCATTATTATCTCCTTGGCTGGGGGAGGGTGCAGGGTACATGTCCCAACAAAGTATTCATATATTGTTTCCAGTAGTGAAAATTTATTATTAAAACAAAAACCCAAAGCCCTGACTGGTATAGCTCAGTTTTTTGGGTGATGTTCTGCCAACCAAAAGGTTGCAGGTTCAAATCCTGGTCAAGGCACATGCCTGGGTTGCAGGTTAGGTCCCCAGTCAGGGCGCGTGCAAGAGGCAACATATTGGTGTTTCACTCTTATATCAAAGTTTCTCTCCTCTCTCTCCCTCCCTTACCCTCTGTCTGGAATCAATAAAAAGAAAAAATATTTTAAAAATACCCACTAATAGAAGAATGACCAACCAAATAACTCCAATAAATATAAAAAAGTTAAGCATTCTCATTCTTCCAAAATAAGCATAGCTGCTGAGAAATATGATTTTTTTCCTTTTTTTGTGATTGGTCTGTTTGGTCTATAGGAGGTGACAGAGATAGGAGAAAACCACCCTGCAGAAAGTTAATGAGAGTGTGACAAAGTGTTGCAAATCAAACTAGTGCAAGATGGTGACTAAGCCTGAATCTGCACAATACAAGTGCAAATTATTGGAAAAGTGTGTGTGGGGGGGGGGGGAATCTTGTAACTGAATATTTTGTCTGCAAGATGACAAATAACCAATTGGGTTTCACCCAGCCCAGTGATTTGAGGGGTTGTCCTGGCATTGGGTTGACACAGCCAGGATGTTCCTCCTAGCCTGCCTGGGTGCTGGTCCTCACTCTGCCTTTCATTTCAGACTATGTCAATTTGTTCAGCACCAAGTGTCATGGCTGTGATTTCCCTGTGGAGGCTGGTGACAAGTTTATTGAAGCTCTGGGGCATACCTGGCATGACACCTGCTTCATTTGTGCGGTATGTTTTTAACCTGAGGTTCTGGCTTTCTGAGAAGGGGCAAGAGGGACCAAGTGGGCCAGATAATGAACACTCTACATCTTTTCAACTCTGGCATTCTAAATTTCTGATCATTTTTAAAGGCTGGCAAGTACCATGATGCCTTGATATGTCACTGTTGAACAGTTTTATTACTAATAATTTTTATAAACTGTTTTTGCTCTGTTACTCTTCATTTTATTAAGGACAACAGAGTATCCCAAGTCTGCCTCACTAGCATTATTTTTAGTAGGTGGGAGCAGTGAATGGTGCTTGGATTTAAAGAGAAGTTGGTGACTTCTCATAGTTACAAGTTATTTTAGATATGATGAAGTGATTCAAAGGTTTCCTCTCAAATTTTCACCAGGAGAACTAGATTGGAGCTTATTGACTAATCCTATGAAAAGCTGAGATAAAGTTTCTTTTGATACAATCTTTTAGAAAGTAGGACTGAATATCATTTCATTTTCCAAAATGGTCTTGTTCTTGATATGTAGTTGTTAGGAGATAAGCCCTAGACTATTAAAACCATGTGCAATTTATTTCTTGTAAACAACCAGGCCATTTTTACCATGAGAGATTGGCACTTTCCTTTCAAGGGCTTTGGGTTGTGGAGAGGACATGGCAATGAGCCTACTGACATTTATATTCTGCATTAGTTAGGAAATAGACATCCCTAATAAGCCCTGTACTGATAGTCTGTCACTGACTAAACTTTATATGGGAAAATTAATGTGCTACTCCTACTATTTTACTTTTATCAGAGCCAATCAAGGTAAATTTTGGGAATGCATGAAAGATCTGTATAGTTTAAACTTAAAAAATTTTTATAGACTTATGACATAGGACAACCCAAGTCCTAAAGTTTACTGCAATATACCCCAGGTTTTACAATTCATTTCTATACTGCGCCCCAATTAGTGGGGTGTACTCTATTCACTCTGCGTGTCAGTCTGCTAAGTCTGCCATAACAAAGTACCATAAACTAATGTCTTAACAATAGAAGTGTATTCTTTCACAGTTCTGGGGGCTAGAAGTCCAAATTCAAGGCGTCAGCAGGGCCAGCCTTTCTCTCCTGGCTTCTGGTGTTTGCCAGCAGTCCTCGGTGTTTCTTCACTTACAACTGCATGACTCCAGTCTCTGGCACCATCATCACATGGCTGTTTGCCCTCTGTGTGTCTGTCTTCACATGGCATTTTCCTCTCTGTACATGTCTGTCTCTGTGTGTTTCTCTTATAAGGACACTGGTCATATCAGATTAAGGACCCAGAACGCTCCAATATGACCTCATCTTAACTTTTACTTTGATTATATCTGCAAAGATCCTATTTCCAAATAAGACTACTGCTGTGACCCTGTGCTGAGGAAATGGGAAGTAGTGGGGTTGGGACTTCAACATGGATTTTGGGGGGATGCAAATTCAATCCCTAACACTGACTTGCCAGATCTTCAAATAGATTCTCTAGCTGCCTTCTAAGGTCCTTTAAATATATCGGGGCCTCCACTTCAAAGACGGAAATAATATAAATATACTGGCTTTGGGGTTGTCCCCTACAGAGCCACAGCTGAGCAAGACACAACATGGCTCTCTGACCCTTACATTCAAGCCATGGCTTGTATGATCCTAAGATGCTGCCTGTAAGTCTGGTTACCCAGCTTCTAGAAGGATCCCAGGGACTTGGAGAAGGTCCAGGGAACACAATGGCAAGGAAGGCCTGTTGTCCTAGGGCAGGGTGATGAGAGGTCTATGCCACGTGGAGAGGGAACTATGGCAAAGGTAACTGTGGGTCTGCTCCTTCGAGCCTGCTGTGTTTGGCTGAGTCACAAGAGCACAAGTCTCAGAGGGAGACCAGAAGAAGCAGTAAAGCTTAGGGTTGTTTAGGATGAGATTACAAATAAGTTCTAGTACAGTGTGAGAGACCCATAACATTGCCCAAAGAATCCACCCAAAGAAACCAGGCAGATCCAGATTTCATCCTTTGGAGAATCAATAATGGAGAATTATTGTCTTCCTCCTTAGTAGCCCTGTGTGGCATTCACTGTCGCATTAAGATATATCAAAGTGAAACACAGTTCCAATTTTTGGAAATCTTTGAGGGCTTTTCTGGTTCCTCTATCACTTTATATTTCCAAATCATTTTTTAGCATCCTAAATTGTTTATTAGGTAAGAGTTTTACAAACATGGCACATATTAGCAGTAATGGTGGAGCTGGAGAGTATTGCACCTTCTCCAAGCTGCACAGCGAGAACCACCAATAGTGTGGTGGAACTTATGGCCCTTTCCAAAGTCATGGCTCTTGCTGCCTGCAGATGTCAGCCCTCACATCTCCCTGTGCTTGTGGACCAGTTTGGTGATCCATTGGGTGTCAGGATTCCTTCTGATAGCCTTATGGAATGGATCAATGATGATAACCTCAAAGAATTTGGATGTGGAATCTTCACCAACCCAGTAAGAATTCAGGACTCTCAGAGCCCCACAATGGTTCCTGGCTCACTCCTCAGCAACCAACTGAAGGTTTAGGGCAAACTTCAGCTGGTTAACACCATGATAGACAGGCTTGCCATAGGTCACGCCCTTAGGAATAGGGTGTTTGTGGCCACCACAGAACACACAAATCCAATATATGGCATAACCTCGCTTGGCCTTGTATCCCAGCTTTATCGGGCCTGGTGGGGTGGAGGGCCCTGTGGAGCACAGAGAGCTGGCGGTACTGCCAGCAGTGCACCCTGAGAAGGAAGCACATCACATCGGACTGCTTCTTCCTCCATAGCTTCTGGATGTACTTGTAAGCACCCATCTTGGCTTACCTTATGGCTGTGGCCAGATGGAAAGGAAGAACTTTTCTCCCACTCCAAATAATTTTTAATGAGTATATATTTTTGTATAACTTTAAAAAACACTAGTAAGAAAGGAAGATAAAGACTAGCTCTTCTAGTTGTGCAGATTTTTCCATCATTCATATCTCAGGAGAGCACCTCCTTTAGGCTAATTCAAGTTACCAAGTCTTGGGGGCACAAGAGCATACCAGAATTCCACCTTCAAGGAATTTAGAATCTTGAAAGGAAAACAAAGCTAACATATACAAGCAAACAGAGTACAGAACAAGACAGCATCTTAAAGTCCCAAACACATAAAACGAAGGCTTAGAAAGGACAGTGTGGGTCAGCTCCTATCTGCCTTTGGCACTTGAGTTCCAGAGAAAGGAGTTGGATCCTACCTCACTGGGGGAAAGATGTCTTACTGGCCCCTTGTTTCCTCCAAGTTTAGTAGGTTTCTAGCCCTTCCACACCAGTGTAGAAGGGACTGGTGGTGGTGTAACTTTTGTGGGCAGTCATAAGAACTGCTGCACCTGACCTGTTTCATTGCCTTCCACTCTGTGGTCAGCACTGTCCATGGTTTCCACTCCTTCCCAGCCAGGCCCTAATACTACTGTTACTAAACCACAAACCTGGGAGGTGGGCCACTCCTGCTGTGCCCCTGTGCTGAGTAGGCTGGAGGCCTTCTCTACCATGAAGCCACCTTGAATTCTGCCTGCCAAAGACACTAAGCACAACCTCTCTATGATAGTCCCTGCCTTCAGCGCCATCTTATTAGTGAGCCACCTCTGAGGCTCTGGCCCTTCCTTACTCCTTGGTCTTCAGTCCCCCAATACATTCTCCAGCCTCACAACTCAGAGTTCTCCCAAGCAGACAGCTGTGTTGCAGACCAAGCAGGGCTGACAGGCATCTTCTTGCCAACTGACTCCAGAGCTGCCTTTTCTATCTCTCATGAAACCTATTCTCAGCTGGATCTTGAGTGCCACCTTCTTGGACTTGGCTCCAAGTTGTCATCAGCAGCTTGAGGCCACCAAAAGTGCCTGGTTATGCTCATGACTGTATTCAGCGGGGATGTTTTCAGACACCTTTAGGTCATTGTCTTCTAGAGTCCATTGGCAGCTCTATGTGATCCCAAGTATAACATCCTCAGCTGGTCATCGGGCCCTTGCACATGGGGCCACCATGATGCCACTTTTCTTTCCAGTTTTCTTGGAGTGGACACATACTCACTGACCCAATCTCATCTTGGTGAGGTGGTTTCTCTGTCCTCATGCCTGTCCATACAAGGGAGGTCCACTTGCACTTCTTTATCCAATGTTGGTGTCCTGGTTGTGGCCCCCAATTTGGCTCCCCATTAGGGATTCTCATTGCCCTCTCTGAGGCTGGGGCCAATCCCAGCCAATTTAACTTCCCAGTTGACTCTGACACCTTGGCATTATTGCCTGCCTAGGGCCAACCTACACACTGGTAGGCTAAAAAACTACTGGTAGGCTACTTCTACACAAGTTCGTAAACCTAGAACAATTTGAAGTAAACAGCCTCTCTCTGCTGTGGACTGTGAGGAAGATGAGCTTGGAATTGGAGTCCTGCAGACGTGGACATGGATTCCCAGCTTTACAGTTTACTAAGTCTGTGACTTAAACAATACACTTGGGATCTCTGAGCTTCCTTTTTAAAATTGTGAAATAGGGAAAAGTCATGCCTATCCCATAAGGTTTTTGTGAGAATTAAATGAGATCATGCATATAGAGTATCTAACATGCTGCTTGATCCACAGCACCTCAACAAGTATTACTCAGCTCCTTCTTTCAGTGATATTTCCATATGTTGCTACCATGGGAATATATTATTTTGCCTTTTTTCATGTAACATTTCCCTGCATTCATTTTACATATTCAATTTCTCTTCTTCATGGTGGCATTCCATTGGAAAAATGTCATAAAAATTATTTAATCATCCCTATTGAAAGAAGTTTTAGTGGTTTTCAGTTTTTAGTTGAGTATATGTTGCTTTCTTGTCTGTGCAATAGTTCTGCAAGATAGAATTCTCCAGAGTAGGATTACTGGGGTGCAGAGCAGGCACATCTTTATGGCTCCTCTTAGTATTGCCACATTCTCTATTGAAGACTGAGCTAATTCACGTGTCCCTAGCAGTGCACACATGGGCCTGGTTCCCTTTTGGCATTGCTGCTTTTTGATTACTTGTTTTCCTCACTTTTTAGCTACAGTTATATAACATTAAAGGTGACAAGATACTGGAAGCTTTTTTGTTTTGTTTTGTTTTATTTTACTAAGTTAATAGGTGTCCAGTGGTATTTATGGAGATTTTCCTTTAATTATCAGTAAGGATAATTTTTCTGATGTTGTTTAGTTTACTAATGGGTTTTCTTTAGACGTTAATCACTCTGTGGATATTGACTTATGAACTTATATTGATTCCATATTAATTTTTGGATAGCATCAATTGGTCTTCATCATGTATATTTTCTCTATTCCATTAAATTAGTTAATTTAGTTCCATTTAATTCCATTAAATTTAGTTAATTTGATTTAATTTGAGCTTTATTCCATGTCCCTCTTTGGAAAACTTAAATTTTTTTATGGTTTAATGCATCTAGTCTGTCATAGTTGTTAAAGATTTATAGTGGGGAGAGATAGGCTGTTGCTTTTCCTCCCATCTGCATGTGACAGCATGTTTTCTTAAAGAGGTGACTAAAATCTTTGGCTCAAGTTCCCCTGCCTCATGGCCTACAAGACCCTGTTTCACAGCAGTCTGTTTTCTGTCCCAGGTCTGCCATGTGAATCTGGAAGGACAGCCATTCTACTCCAAGAAGGACAAACCCCTGTGCAAGAAGCATGCGCATGCCATCAACGTGTAGGGAGGGTGGGGCACCTGATGTGGACAGGCAGGAGCTGCTCCTGCCTCTGGCAACAAAGGATTCAAGAAGGCTGATGTTTCTTTTTGCAGGAAAGAGGGAAGACAGGAAGCAACTGAGCTTTTTTGAAGTGTAATTTCAGTCCTTTCTTCTGTACACAGATTGTGTATTTGCATAGTTCAGACTAGAAGCCAAATGAAGATTCCTAAACCAAGCTAGTAATTAATCCAAGACTGGAATTGTACTTCAGACATTTAGGACAGAATTCCAAGAACTCAAAAGTGAAAAACAAAAAGTAACTTTCCGAAAGTGATACACTTCCTGAGGTCAGCAGAGCAGGGACAGAGCTCAGGGCAGTTAGGGAGAATCTGAAGCATTCTGTGAAGTTCTTTAGAGCTGTTCTGGCAAACAAAATAAAGTGCCAAACAGTCCAGGCTGCAGGGTATTTTTAGAGCCAGAGCTGAGAGATTGTTAGCTCAGATCGATGGGGCCTTCCTCACCAAAAAAGGAAGTGTTATTCTATTACTAGTGTTCTGGAGCTACCTCTGAGCATCAGACATCAGACCTTGAACAGAGTTGAACATTCTAAAGGGAGCCCACACATGCAGAGTGATGTCTTCTGGGAGCCAATGGACAACTGACCCAGCTTCTGGGGGGCCTCTGGCTCACACTGGTGACAACTCCCCTCTTTCATACTGAAATACCCAATGTCCCAGAAGGCTTAGCTCCTATTTGAATTGCCACGGAAATGTAAAATTGGGCTTTTCCAGTTTTGCTTTGCTGTGTGTGAGAGATTTTAAAATGACTCTGACTTTTGTTTGGCCTTTGTTTTGCTTTATGAGCATGGATGCCCAGTGATGTATTTTACTCCCAGTCCTCTGCTCACTATGAAGTCTTCCTCAGCACCCCTTGCCCAACAGGCTTAGTGACCTGTGGAAAAGAAGAGACAGTGTCTGACACAGGATGCCAAAATAGTCTGAGAACATGCCCAAACTCTGGGTGAGAAAGAGGAACCTTACATTCAGCCAACCTCAGTCAAAATGCATGAGTTGGCAGGACCTCCCACCTTAGATCAGCACCAGTCTTCTCGTATGTTCCTTTAAATACAGCACACTGGTCATGTACCATTGTGTTGACTGCTGGAGGGAAAAGATGGACTGATACATACTTGTTTGCCATTTTGACCAATATTTTGAAAATGTATGAGCTGGGTTGATGTAGCCATTATTTAAGTATGTACTGAAATAGACTTGGGTCTTCTAACTTTAAAATATTAGTGATAGTATGCGTTAAGTAAGCATTTTGAAGGTGTTTGGGGGATAAAGAGAGAAGCTTTTGTTTCTGAGGCTGGAAATGATATATAGTCTCTTTCCCTTTTAGGAAACACTGTTATTTTGCTCACTGAACATGGCATTGAAGTAAGCAGTTTGAGTGGATGTTTCTCACTTGAGCATAATACTTAGATACTATTCCCACTCACTGCTACTCTCTTCTCACTCCTGTTTTGGATGTTCTCTTTGAGCATTTGAAATCTTTTATGAGAATGTATTAGAACACTTTTTCTTCTGAGAACTGAGCTTCCAGGGGACTGCCATTCTACCTGAATCTGTCCCTTTTCCCCAATGGAGAGAGAAGCAGCTAGATGTGTCCCTAGCAGGAAGCCTGTGTTTCTTTCCAAGGGTAAACCCACCAGATGGCCCAGGGAGCACCAGCAGGGACATAAATGTGCTCCTTTCACAGGCCCTTATTTAACTTGGTGCTGTGAGAAAGTGAATATAAAGCACCAGGCAGGGTAAAATCTGTGGGAAGTGCCTGGAGATTTTTCAGGAGTTGCACACAAGTACCTTGGAGCATTCTGTTATTTTTGGAAAGTTCAAATACACAGGGACAAGAAGGTTGCTGACTATACAGAAAGGCTCTAAGCAGGTTTTCTCTAAAAAAAAAAAGCCAAAAAACCAAAACTATTAAATTATCAGGGACTGGTCATGAGGAAAGGACAAAAGTTCCCTAAAGTTTCCAAAAATATCATTTAAAAAGGGTTTCTACTCTCTCTCTCTCTCTCTCTCTCTCTCTCTCTCTCTCTCTCTCTCTGTGAGCATTAAAAAATATGTGATTATTAAAAAGAAAAGTGAAATATCTCACAGTAGAACTTTATAATCATTTATTGAATCAGTTTTTCTACACGTCAGAGCTAGTGTAGATTCTGAAGGATTCTATTATTTACCAAAACACAAAACAAAAAACATTTTTTTAAAAGGTAGCAGGGAAAAGAGGTAGTTCTGAATATGTTCTCTCCATGTTTGTAAGTTTGATATAGCATCAGGGTTAAGGACGTATCTAGTTCAAGTTAAAATCATGGATAGCCTACACCATCAAACACAATTTTGAGTAGTTCATGGTGGGGAGTGTACTTCGGATCTATAGTTCTTGTCTCCTTATTGTTACATTTATTTAACCTCTAAAAACATTAACTTTTTGCACCTGTGTGACTTGTAGTGTTTGTGTTAGGAATCTAGCTTTTATAATGTTAATTTTTCAACCCATGTACTTTTCCTTTGGGATTTTTTTTTTTAAATTTTAAGATTTCAGAAGTGAAATATAGTGTGTTAGAGGTGTGCAAAAATATTTTGCATGTTTTTCTTTTTTTGCCCATGTGAATTTTACTTTTTAGCAAAATAAAACCCGAAAAAGACTGCAATTATAGAGTTTACCATGCGAAGTTTTTTCACATGACACCAAAAGCAGGTTTTCTCTATATGGCCACCAATAAAGTTCAAGTCAAAACACAGTGCCCTCTGCAGAAGAAACACATACAACTCACTTGCTCTGTTGGCTGTGTGGCCTAATGGCAGTTATATGTGAATAATATAACATATAATGCATACAAAGGGATTTTCCAGGTAAAGAGTAAACTGAAGACCAGGCTTTGCCTTTTCTTTTTGAAAGGTTTATTTATTTAACTACTTGGTGATTAAATATTTCATATTTGTTTTTATTCCACTCTAAATGGCTTAACTTCTGGAAAAGTTGCTGTATTTTCTGCCATATCTTTAGTTTTGAAATAGGCTCAGAGAAAAATCCTTTCATGGCATTTAAAAACAAATAATGAAGACCCTTCTGAGGGTACTCTGCTTAACAAAACCAATTCTTTTTCAAAGTATTCTATTTCCAGGCTAACTTGAAAATAAAGGGAAAATTTTAATAATTTGACTTTGAGCATCTGAATCAGATTTTGAAAGAGCTGTGCAGTTACAAGTAGAAATAAAATCTCATTATTTTAGTACATTTTAAAAGCTAGAGCAATTTTTTAAATAGGTGATGGAGGAAAATGAGGCTGATAGAGTCATAAATTTAAATTTGGAAGGGATCTAAGAGCTCATCTGGACATTTTCCAGATGAGGGAACTGAGGCCCAGTATGGGGAGGTGGCTTTCCAGTATACACAACCAGCTATGGAGGCAGCTGGTGCATTCGAATAAACAAGGACTTGGACACGGCAAATGAAGGTTTTTTTTTATCAAGGCTAATCTAATACTACCTAAGTGATAACTGGGAGAGTCTCTCTAAGCCTGCCTATTTGCCTGAAAATGAAGGTAATAACACCTGGCTCACAGTGATATATGGAGAACCAAATGCAATAACTTTTGGAAGAAAATTGCAATACAAATGTTAGGTATTATTATCACCAATAGAGTGGGTCAGAACCCAAGGCCTTCACTCCTTTGTTTCATTTTCTTAACTCCTCCAACTTCTCCATCCATAAAAAATACATTGGGAAAACCAGCAGCAAGAATAACTATTACACAAATAGCCCAGAAGTATGAACCATGTGGATCAGAACTTGATATAATTACAGTAGTTCCCCCTTATCTGTGGGGGGTATGTTCCAAGACCCCACAGGAGATGCTAATATATACTGAACCCTATTTGTACTATGTTTTTTCCTATGTAAACATGTGATAAAGTTTAATTTATAAATTAGGCACAGTAAGAAATTAACAGTAATAAAATGGAACAATTATAACAGTATACTGTGATAAATGTTACATGAATGTGGTCTCTCTCTCACAGTATCTTATACTGTACCTATAGCATGAATATGCTGGACAAAAGGATGATTCATGGCTTAGGTGAGAATTCCTCATGCAACTCACACAATTTAAAACTTATGAATTGTTTATTTCTGGAATTTTCCATTTAATATTTCTAGACCACAGTTGACTGTAGGTAACTGAAACCAAGGACAGAGGAACTATGAATAAGAGGGCTATTGCAGCTTGTAACAAAATTCTGATCTCTTCACTGAGGACTGTGGACAGAATAAAAATTGCTTATTCATTTGCTTACCTGTTCATTCTTTCAACAAAGATTTATTGAGTCCCTACTATGTATCAGGCACTGCTGTGGACACTGGGAACATGACAATGACTAAAACAGACAAAATACGCTGTTTTCATGAAACTTAGATTCTAGTGGTTTGGAATCAGCCAAACAAAATGAATAATTATGTTGGATTAGTTCTGAGAAGAATTTTGACTATTTAAAGCTTCTCTACAGGGTAACACTGGCATTCTTCTGGACTTAGACTCATTAATAATAAAGACATGGCATGAAGAATGGGTTTTGGATCAAATGTTAGGAAATAGCTGCATTTGCTGTTCACCCTAGGTATTCACAATACATATTCGGGAGCTTGAATGAGCACTCAGTCCCTCAACAGAGACACCTGTTTCACTTCCTTGAGCACAGAATATGGAGCTCCAATTTGGAAAACGCTGTCTGAACTTTGGGTTTAGACCTTCCTGAGCTCTGGCTTTCCCAGGACAATCCTAATGTCAAATAATCTTTCTTGATGTTCCGCTTAAACCATTTCTGCAAGTTGTGCAGTAGGTTGGCGTGTGTATATATATAATAAACTTTATTTGTAGAGAAGTTTTAGGTTCACAGCAAAACTGAGCAGAAGGCACAATATTTGGGCTGAAGACTGAATGTTGAGAAGAAATCAACTGTACCAAAGTCTGTAGTAGAGTGTTCCAGACAAAGGGGGAAAATAAGCGTGAAGGCTTTAAGGGAATGATTTTGTCATGGTGAAGGAGCATGGCTTGAGAGCACATGTAAGAGAGGGCAGTAGCAGGGGAGAGGGAGAACACCAAGGCCCTTGCAGGCCATAGGAAGATCTGCCAGAGAATGCCTTCACATGCCTGCCCTTGCAGAGAGAGGAAATGTAGTTTTACTACAAGAACCTCATGTTTGATAAAAGAATGAATTTATTTTTCCTATGAGACTTTCACTTGAAAAAAATTTCAAAGCTATTCATCAAGTAGTTCTGGTTGAATATGGCAAAATTGTCCTGGTTGTATGCAGTTGTTCAAGTCTGGGATACCTGAGTTCTGTGTGGGTATGGCATGGAACTGATTTCCTAAATCTGGGAAACCTATGCCTGTATACATACATACACATTGTATTTAATTATAATCACACTACACATACTGTTGTGAGATTTGCTTCTTTTTAAAAACAATTTATTTGGGGGGATCACTTTGTAAGTTACATAAATGTCTAACCACTGTGCTGTACACCTGAAACTAATATACTGTCAACTGAAATTGAAAAAAATTAATAAATAAAACTGCTTTGAAACTATGAACTTCAGTATTTGATCCCACTTAAACTTCTGTGAAATACGAGCTCTGTCCAGGAAGTATCCAGTCATGTGCTATGAAAGAGACATTTATCGAAGAAGATACAAGATACAAGAAATATTATACATAGGATAATGAGGCCTCATTCCTCATTGGCACCTCACACAGTTCTCCCAATCGCTATCAGCTGCCCCATCACATTTTTCTCAGTCTCATTGATAGTCTGAAATCTCTTCCCTTTCAAAGGTGATTTTAGTTTTGGGAAAAACCAGAAGTCAGAGGGCACCAAATCTGGGCTGTAGTGGGGCTGGGTCACCTGAGTGATGTTTTGCTAAAAAACTCTGCATGAGATGTGATACATGAGGGAGCGTGTTGTCGTGATGAAGCTGCCAATCACCAGTTGCCCATAGCTGTGGCCTTTGGAATCCTCCAAATAGTTCCCAAGGAGACTGTTCAAGCTTAACATAAAATTTGATGCAGATTCCTTGGCCTACTTGCTCAGTCATTTTGAATGTGATAGACATATAGTACACATGCCCACTCAACAGTGTCTACCACCCCCACTGCCTAGTACAGTGAAGTTGTCATTGTTCACACATGCACATTCCAGCCCACTCTCCTTGGCTGCTACGTTATGTTGATATTCTTGTTATGTTAACAATGGTTAGACTTTTTCTGGGCAGACATCGTATATATTAAGAATCATCTGAGTAACAATGATCATGAGTTAATCTATTTACTGAGTTTGTGGGATTCACCTTGCCATTAATTTTGTCAAGGCAATCAACTACTTTTCTGAACCATTAGATATATATACATCTCCATGTAGTGCTGTCCTTTGAGTACTAGGGTCACATATCCAGATTTTGCTCTACTGCCTCACCTGATGTCTCACAGCCATCTCCAAGTCTGTCTATTTCACATACTGGAGGAATGACCATATGAATGTTCTTTCTATCCTTCCTTAAGCAATAGATTCTGTCCCTTTAGGAACACTTATTAGCTTAAGAAGTGTGTTTGTGAACCAAATCAGAACAATCAGAACCTTTCCCTGAGATTTTGTTAAAACTGGAGCTCAGAGAGAGATGTTCTCTTCTCTCACTGGTGGCTAAGCTGGAAGAATGTGAGTACAAAGGCCCTCTGTTCCCTCCTGTGTGGAGGAAGTCTGTCTGTGATGGGAGAGAATAAAACCCATAGGCACTGAGAAGATTAGAAATGAGAGGGAGAGAATATTTGGCCAATATGAGGTCTGTTGGATGTAGTCATTCCTGAAGCTCCATGTCTACCTCTTCCTTGGTTTGATAAAATTCTGTTTGATCCTTGAGCTTGTTTAAATTGAGTTTCTGTCATGTGCAACAAAAAAAATCTCAATACAATTGCCCAATGCTGAATTCAGGATGGTGCAAAACATTAAGTCCCCATAATGTCACTCATCTTACCCATGCCACCCCATCTAAACCTACATACAGAGTTCTTATTACAGTAAACATCATTTTGAGACAAATTCCACAGTTCTGCTGCCCTATTCCTCTTCTGTGTAGGAATTCTAGAGCTACCAGTGGCTGAGTTTACCACTCTGCCACCCAACCAGCTTCTCCTCTTGTATGTTTTCTTTTGGTGAGTTGCAGGCACCACCCAGTCACTGTAACTAGAAATCTGGGAGTCATCTAAGTGTCTTGCTTCTCCTACAACTACTCTTTCTGACATCCCATAATTACCACAAGCTGCCAAATTTACCTCCTGAATCTGTTTTCCTCTCTACCCTAAGGACTCCATCCTGCCTTCAGACATCTCTCCTTTACATTTTCTCACCAGCTTCTGAACTGACATTGTTGTCTCCATTTTGCCCTGCCTACCCCTAATTCATCCCCCACAGTGCAACTAGAGAGGTCTCTTCCAAAATAAGTCTGACCGTATAATGGTCCTGCTGAACACTCATAAATGATTCCCTAATATCCCTTGATAGAAGTCAAATAACCTCATACAAGATCCCACTTTCTGGGCCCTGTTGCCGTCTCTAGCCTCTTAACCTGTTGTGGACCCACCTTCTCATAACAC